CTGTCTCTCTTTGTCTGTCTGTCTGTCTGTCTCTCTCTCTCTCTATATATATATATATACATATACATATACATATATATATATATATATATGTGTGTGTGTGTGTGTGTGTGTGTGTGTGGTCAATTTTGTTAAGTAAAATGGTAAAAATATTAGAACTAGATGGGTGAGATTTGTTTTAATCTTCTATAATTGAAAATTACTTAAAATGACTCATATTGTGTAACATTTAGTTTTAAATAAAATAGCCAGCAGAATTGTGCAAAACAGCAAGATTATAAGTTGTATGTATGAAATAGAACTGATATTTTGTTTTACTCTTTCTTTTATTACACAATTGTTTCCTTAATCTCATTTACATATTGGTTTTATTAAAAGGAACACAGTATATTATGAAAAATAAACTTGAATAATTTGTCATATTTGGCATTCGACAGATGGATGTATATAATAACTTTGTCCATTATTGTTGGTTGTTGATATTATTTTCAGTGCTTATGAACATAGTGACATTTAGATGAGTACTCTTGTCTAAATGCAAAGTTCTAGAGAATAGATTTGTTAGATGAAAGGAAACCCAAATTAAATCTTAAGTGTTACCTAATTTTTCATCAGTAAATCATATATGTCATTTATTCTATAGGATGATTGGTTCATGTATGCAAGCTCTAATGACTCACATAATGGATTACATACCTTTTGCTATGATTCCTCATTGAATTTATATATGATCACAGTAGTTGGGAAAAGAAATATTTGTCAGTTGCATCTTTTCCCTAAGTTTGTTTCTCACTCCAGCCTATTTTCCTGATTGGCGTTGGGTCTTACCATCTCTTCTTTCCATATCCACATTGATAATGGAAATCATTCCATGTTGCACATTATCCTTGCTCCATCTCCTCTTCTCTGATGGAAGTTTAAAGTTCAGTATGAATTCCTCTCGCATCACACTTTAAGGAGCCCCTCTGTAACATTGTGCTATTTTCTTCCACTTTACTTACATTATTATTGATTATGTTTTCTGTGATTTTTTTCATAAGATCAACAGTTTGCATAAAACATCAATTTAATTTTTGTTCCTCCAATTTTAGATGTTTGCATAGATCAGGCAAAATTAGAAGAGTGGGAAGAGAAAGCATCAGAACATTGCAAGAAAGTAAGTAACTGCTTTACTCTGCAGGCCTGTGTGGGAGCTGCAGCAGGGCACTACCTCTTCTGGGTGCTTGTTACTGCCCTAGATCTCATGTTCCTCAGGCTGTGTGAGAGGCCTGCCCCATGGAGTACTAGCTAGACCAGTTTGTTTTAGGAAATATGCTCCACCTCACCACTTCCTTTTCTTGCTTTATATTGTGCATGTGTTTAACTATGTACATATGGTATGTTAGGTATTCTTCTTCCAGAGTGAACCTGAGACTTTCATTTTCTTTCTTGACACTCTGCACCATGAACAATTTTTGTGTTATAAGCAAACAAAGAAATACTTATTGAATGAGTGAATGAATTAATGGTTGGAGAGAAGGGGGGAAGACAATGTATATCTTTTAATCTTTAAAAATTAAAAAAAAATATTTTAAATAGCCATGTGTAATCTTAGAGGCAGGCAGATATTGATGTTTAGGGATGACCTGGTGTATACAGTGTATTCCTTGACAACCAGGGCAGCAAAGAGGAATACTGTCTCAATTGTTTCTTTAAATAAAAAGCACAAACTATGGTATGCCACCAGCTTCAGTTGCTTCAGTCTACCAATTTTTCTGACTCTGCTCATCTTTGCTTTTCTTTGGTACAGTTTTGTCTTCTTTTTACTGACTTAGGATTTCTGTTTTAGATAGTTTCTTGGTTGAGTGATTGACGTCTGAAGTAGCCATTCAGAGTTGAATTCTTGGCTCTAGCTTCTCATGTTGATGAAGAAATAACAATAACTACTGCCATATAACCAAACTATATAGCTATTTCCTTATGAGCATTTATGAGCACTGTCTCATGAAGTATACATTGTTAATGGAGTAGGACCTAAGAGTGCCTGAAGAGATTTCTATTTTCCTGTAAACTTGATGATCACACATAATTTGCAAATCGAACCTTTCTCTAATTTAAAGAACTTCTGTTGAATTTTATGCTTCTGATGTTTTTGATGCCCTAAGGGTTAGAATGAAGCAAACCCTTCCAGACCTTTGGCTGCTTGCTAAGTGTCCTGGCTAGATTTCTTTTGCTGGGATAAAATACTGACAAATAACAATGAGGAGTATTAAGGACTCATTCGTCTTATATGTTTCTCACTGAGGGAAATTATCAATGTAGGAACTGCAGCTGAGACCATGGAGGGACACTATCTTACTTCTCCGTGGTAACTCTGCCTGCTTTCTTATAAAACCCAGAATCACCTGAACAAGGTTGGTACTGCCACAGTGAGCTGGGCCCTCCTGTATCAGCCATCAATTTTGAGAATAACACACAGTCATGCCCACAGGGCAAGCTGATGGAGGCTCTTTCCCAGTTGAGGTTATCTGTTTCAGGAGGTCTCTTGTTTATGTCAGGTTGACCAAACAAAACCAGTAGCACACTAGGGTGAAAGCCATGAATATGATATTTGGTTTGATGAAGGAATGAAAAGATTACGTTATTTAAGCTTCCAAATGGTCTACAATGGTTAATAGCTGTTAGATACAGTGTGGCCATTCTCTCAGCCAGCACTGTATTGTAAGCTTAGTTAGTACCTGCATTTTTCATGCATTTAGTACTAAGTTTTACGTATTAGAAGCAGATACATCAGGAATAATAGAGACTGCACTTATGTTTTGTTGATGTGTAGGGAATATCAATAGAGTTGAATACAAAATACTTGATAGATTTTTTTTTTTAAATAGCAAGCTAAGTAAATAAAAGACCTTGTTCAAGGTTAGCTGCCTTTTTAAAGCCAGAAGTTGTATGCGTTACATGTATTCAGAAAATACTCTTGCTTCATAAAAGATTTCTATTGCCATACCATCTTGTATATATCAGCAGAAACTTTGCTCTGATCGCTTTGTAAGGACACATGTAAATACTTTGCTTTAGGCAGGAAGCTATCATAGTTTCTAGGTACATTTTTTATTTAGGTGCATAAATTTGAAAAATGAAGAGCAGAGATGTCAGAAAGTATATAGAGTGTATTGAATTATCAACCTTCTTGTACAGAGGCACTAATACATTTACCCCAGGCAATGAAATTAAGCAGAAACTCAACCTTAACTGTATTTCTTGACATTTTGAGTATAATTTTGTTGGTATAATATTGCTCTAGCAATTTTTTTTTTTTTTTTTTTTTTTTTTTTTTTTTTTTTTTTTTTTTTTTGAGGAGAGTTCAGGGAAGAGCACTTTTATACCAGTTTCCTAAGATATACTTTAGGAGACATAGGTTTATCCCCAAGGGTACTGGGATTTGATTGGGGATACTATAAAAATGCCAAACAAGTTTAATAATTCATCTGATTCCTTTGTAAGTGAGGAAATGGATATGTATCTCTTAGTAAGAAATGTTGATGGTTTTTGTATCACCAAGTCGATTTAATACGTTTTATAGACTGTACTAATTATTATCCACTTGATTGTTTTCTATTGTCATCAAGTAAATCCTGTCTGTCTGTATTTTATGTCCCCAAAAGAAAACATCCCTATTGTTACTCTGACAGCAAGTTTGCTTGTTTGGTTTGTTTAGTTTTGCTTACATTTTTCTGGTAGTGAAATTTGATTTCATTGTAAAAATAAGAAAGGAGTTTGGATGCTGAGAAATTTAATCAATGATATTGATGTAGTCGTTCGGTGTTTGGATTTGGCAGGAGTTGGCTTATCATTTAATAAATATTTACTGAATTTAATTATACATTTAAGGGAGTGAAAAGTTAGTTAGAAAAGGTTTTCACTTTTGTGAGCTTGTAAGTTGAGTGATGTTAAGGTGGCTAACATTACTCAGGTATAACAGGTTTGCCACTTACTCTTACTTAACTCTTTCATCCCATGGTTCTCCTATGAGGCAGAGGGTCCTAGATAAAGGATCAAGCCCGGTTCCTCTCCTCTCCTATGCTGTTGCTTCTCCATCTAATTGTGTGCTTGCCTTATACAGTGCTTTTATGACTGCCCTTGACCACAAACTGATGGAACTGAGAGTCACACTTCATCATAATTCCTGTTCTGTTTCTTTTGCACTTTGATCCTCTGAAGCTGTGAGCAATATACCTCTTCTTTCATAAGTAAACTGTGTCCAATAATTAATGTTAATTAAAGCAAACAATTCTTTCTCTAATAGTACATTTTCTCGGTGTTTGCTATTTTTAACTTTTTTGCGATATTATCACCTATAAACAACAAAATACTTGTATTTATCTTAAATATACAGTGCTTCTTAATTTCTCCTTTTAATTTCATTTCTTTTAAAAATGTTTGTTTCTTTGAGATGTGTTTTTTTTGTTGTTTTGTTTTTGTTTTGTTGCTTTTTGTTTTTGATGCTGTTCTGGCTGCTCCCCCATCTGCCCACTTTCTCCTGCCTCAGAGGCCTAGTGTTCCCCTTGCTCTTTAGACTAGGCTGGGCTCAAATTACAGTTCTGCCTGCCTTTGCCTTCTGAATGCTAAGTTTAAAGGCATTCTTTACCATGGCTTAGTTTAAATTTCCTATGCTCAGTTACAAAGTCTTTTGGATTTCTATCCTTATTGCCTTCTGGTATCCTTTCCTTTACCCTATCATTGCTTTGACAACTGCAGTAGACTCAAACCTAATTTCTGTGCCTAGTATTTCTTTTTCATTTAATAATTCACATAGTTGCTGGTTGGGTTTTTCAAAGTGCCAGCTTGGTATATTACTTTCTTAATATGCTTTCCTTCAGAACTCTGAGCAGATTGCACACCATTTAGTGGCCTAGTCTTGACATTTTATTGACACTTTTCTACTATCTCCTCAAGGTCTCTTTTCTCTGTGACTTTGTCTTTGCTGTGGTCTCCTGTTTTTATTGATGGCAGACTTTATGCATCCAGGGTAGATAGTTTGCTTTTAAGTAACAGATGTTTCTCACCAGAAAGTCTGACCGTGTTCTGTTCAGCTCCCTCTCTCTACAACCTAACACTTTTGAGGAATATACTGTAGGCATACTGTGACGTATTTATTCTGCAATGGAAAGTAGGTAGACTGATGACCAATTAAAAAGTGTCTCCACATATATGCCCACAGGCCCATCTGATGGAAGCAATTCTCAGTTCTGGAGACTCCAGTTTGTGTCAAGTTGACAAAAATAAACGGTCACAATACACAAATATATACTTGGCAAGGCTGAAGATGCACTTTATTTGAAAACTTTTAATTTGAAAAAACTGTAAATAAATATTAATGGTTGTAAACTTTATGCACCACATTTTAATCATACTCCCTGTCTCCTATCTGTTTCTACATCCCTATCCACTCATCATCCTGTCTCCCTTGCTTATTTGTTTTTAAGTGCATGGAGTCCAGAGTATGTTGACCTAATTCTCTTGGCTGTGGGACTTTCTCCTGGATCATGGTTGATCTACCAGGTGTTTTGTCCTGAAAGAAAACTGAGTCTCACTCCCTTAGCCGTTCTCAATTGTCAGCAGCTCCTCAGCTAAGCAGTGAGACTTTGTGCCCACTGACTTCATCCATTCTGGGATTTTGTTTGGCAGTCACAGTCTTGCACATGTTATCCACAACCACTGCGAGGTTGGTTGAGCAGTTACTCTGTATTTGGAGAACACCACTTCACTGTAGTTTTTACTTCCGGCTCTTCAATTTTCAGTCTCCTCTTCCACAAGGACTTTTGATTCTTGTGGTGTGTGTGTGTATTTGCTCACGTGCATGCTTGTGTGTGCATGTGCATGTGCATCAGAGGGAGAGGGAAAGGGAGAAAGACACAGGTGTACCATTTTGGGTTTTTGAGAATCAGTTGTCTCCTTATACTATGTGAACTCCATGGACTGAACTCAGATTATCAGGCTTGGAAGCTTATATACCTTACCTGCTTAGCCATCTTTCTGGCCTGGTTTTTAGTTTGAGAATCTGCCTTATGAATGTATGCAGTGTCTGCCCTGCTTTACACTCCCACCAGCAGTATTAAGGACTTCTCTTACTATCCATATGCACTAGAATTGATTTTTTTTTTGACTGTAACCATTTTACCAGGAGTGAAGTATAATCTTAACACAGCTTGATTTTGCATTTCATTGCTGGCTTAGGATATTCAGTATGTTTTTAAATATTTATTTGACCTTTGTATTTCTTTTTGGAGATATGTCTGTTCACTGCTTTCATCCATTTGTTGGTTAGAAAATTTGATATTAGTCTTTAAATTTGAACTTGCTGATAGATTCTAGATATTATCCTCTTGCTGGACATGTGAAGATTCTCTCACATTCTGTATATTGTGTCTTCATTTAGCTCATGATTTTCATTACTGTGTAAAAGATTGCTAATTTCAATTAGCACTATTTGCTTGTTCTTGTTATTTATGATATTGAGGATATTCTGAATTATTAACTTAGTGTTTAGTTGTTTATGTTTACATTTTAAAACGATGGCACTGATCATGACATTAAGTAAGGACGCTATGGAGAGGTGACCGTGAGGCTGTGAGACAGTCATTTGATTTGGAATTTGGAAGCCAATGTGTTTTTGTAATATAGGACTTGTGTCATGCTGTGGATGACAAAGCATATGACGTTCAGTTGGCTAGAAAAGCTGAGCATATGAGATAAAATGTATGCTGGAAAAGCTCAGTTAGAAGTCAAACCTCAGCAACTAGAGGATTAGTCAGGGATAGATGAAGGGCCAGAGTCCAGAGGGGCTGTAACAGTGGTGCAGGAATACCCCACAAAACACTTGTTTTGGGAAATGAGATAAGAAGCATAAAGTGTGTATTGTGTGTTTTCTCTTGTGTGGAACCTAGAAGGAGATAAATAGAAGACAGAAGAATGCAGTTGCTAGAGAAGAGGGGTGAGGTGGATGGGCTGGGAGGATTGCATGGGGTGATTAAAGTACCTGCTGTGCCTCTGAGAAAGTCTCAGTGAAGCCCCACCCTTTCTACAGATAACATCTGCAAAAGCAAACTTAAAGGGAAGCAGGCAGGCAAGCCTCTAAGCCTAACTGGGGGTTAATTTGTGAATTGGTTACTTCATTGAGCTTGGCATTAGTACCTTTTTAGTTAATTTTCTAATAGAGGATGTGTTTGTTGGAGTCTTCACAGTACTGCTGATCACAGTGCTGTGTTTTGGAAGAAGTGAATGGTATTTGCACAATTTTACTTTTTTATTATTTTAAAAATTGATTATTTTACAGAATATACTTTTATTATTTGCCTGTTTTAAACCATTTTTAAAATTTCATTCATTTATTTATGCATGTACATGTGTGCCATGACACACATATGTAGGTCAGAGGACTACTGGTGGACATCATTTGTATCCAGCCTTTAGTCCCAGTCACCAAACTCTGGTCTAGCAGCAAATTCCCTTACTCACTGGCCTGCTCTTGTAGTCCCTCCCTCCCTCCCTCCCTCCCTCCCTCCCTCACCAACAGAACGCTGCACTCTCCAATTTATCTCCTTCT